TTTTATTGGGTTTTCAATTTTTTTGCAAATATCTGAAAAGTGTGGCATGCATTTGTATTCAGCTCCCGAGTCAATACTTTGTAGAACCACCTTTCACTGCAATTACAGCTGAAAGTCTTTTTGGGGATGTCTCTACCAGCTTTGCATATGTAGAGAGTGAAATTTTTGCCCATTCTTCTTTGCAAAATAGCTAAAGCTCTATCAGATTGGATGGAGAGCATCTGTGAACAGCAATTTTCAAGTATTGCCACAGATTTTCAATTGGATTTAGGTCTGGACTTTGACTGGGCCATTCTAACACATAAATATGCTTTGATCTAAACCATTCCACTGTAGTTCTGGCTGTATGTTTAGGGTCGTTGTCTTGCTGGTTTGCCCTGTATTTGGCTCCATCCATCTTCCCATCAACTCTGACCAGCTTCCCTGTCCCTGCTGAAGAAAAGCATCCCCACAACATGATGCTGCCACCACCACCATGTTTCACAGTGGGAATGCTGTGTTCAAGGTGATGTGCAGTGTTAGTTTTTCCTCCACACATAGCATTTTGCTTTTAGTCCAAAAAGTTAAATTTTGGTCTAATCTGACCAGAGCACCTTCTTCCGCATGTTTGCTGTGTCCCCCACATGGCTTCTTGCCGACTGCAAACGGGACTTCTTATGCCTTTTCTTTCTTTCAATAATGGCTTTTTCTGTGGTGAGAGGTTGGCTGACCGTCCTTACATTGTCTATGGAGATCTGTCTCCATAGACGATGTAAGGACGGTCAGCCAACCTCTCACCACAAAAAAACACACAGCACGGACAGGAGAACCCGCACCTCTTCCAGTCAGTATCCCGGTACCTTAAAGAGGCTAAATATCTGGAAAGACTAACGCACCCCAAGACCCTGAGGAGGACTACCCACCCCTAGGCTGTATCGTCATCCATACCCGAGGGACCTCTTCACACCAGGAATACTATATAACAACGCACTTTTTATTAGCGCATCTGGTAAGTGCGCACTCTGTACATCAATTACATCATCCAGAGGAGAATATATACGCATTTGGATTCTATATAAACTTTCGGAAGGTTGTACCTGATCCTCATACATTTTGGACATTTGGATACTTCCACGCATGTCATGATCATGCGTTTTCTATATTCTTATTTCTAGTGCATCTTCAGCGTAACATCTTGTCTGATCACTCCACATATATAAATAATGCATTTTTGCTGTATATGTGTTTATAAAACACACAGCAGGTCTTTTGTTTAAATGTTCAGCGCTGCACCAATATTTATTTTTTGTTGTTTAGAGGCATTGTGGTTTACCTTTTAGTGTGTTCAGCTGCTTACTCTATCACTCAGATTTAGCGCTCGCTTTATTTTATCATTTTCTAGTATACTGAGATTAAATTACACACAGGTATTTACTAATTAGGTGACTTCTGAAGGCAATTTTCTCCACTAGATTTTAGTTAGGGGTATCAGAGTAAAGGGGGGCAAATACAAATGCAAGCCACACTTTTCACAAATTTTTCTTTGTAAAAGAAAATTTGAAAACCATTTATCATTTTCCTTCCACTTCAAAATTATGGTATGCGCCACTTTGTGTTGATCTACTACATAAAATCCCAAGAAAATGCATTTACATTTTTAAAATGGTACAAAAATATAGTAAGCGCTCTCAGTAAATTTAGCAGCTGAACATTCTAGGAAAACGCATAAAAAGTCCCTAAATCAATATGTATACAAAATGCAGCGCTGTTAATAAATCATGAATAATATTAATAAGACACAGTCCAATAAAAGGTGCTCCTTGATTCCCAGTGCAAATGATAGGAATGCGCACTAACCAGAAAGCGTATAAGTAATACGCATGTGAATATATATCCTGAAGCTTCCCCTCTCCTTTTTGGTCTGGTCATGAAAATAGCTGGGAAAGATGGAGATCGTGCGCCCTCATGTGGTGAAAGAGTGGTCCAGCAGGTCAAAGAAGAATCAATCGAGATAAGCCTCCCCCTCTCAGGAGCTGACACAGGGATCACTTGGGGCTGTGGAAGTTGAAGCAGCTCCTCACAGGAGATACATGGAAATACTCATAGTGTAGTAAGTAACTGACTTTATTTAGAAAAGCATAGGTGCACAATAAACATGATAGTACCAAGTATGGGTGAACACACTGACCCTTTAAAAAAAAACCAAGATGGCCACCGGGCCTCCACGTGGCACCGGCGGCTTAGTGTCAAACGGCGTCCTGGGCTCCACCTATTGCTTATACGCTTTCTGGTTAGTGCGCATTCCTATCATTTGCACTGGGAATCAAGGAGCACCTTTTATTGGACTGTGTTTTATTAATATTATTCATGATTTATTAACAGCGCTGCATTTTGTATGCATTTACATTTTTGGTTGTAACATGACAAAATGTGCAAAATTTCAAGGGGTATGAATACTTTTTTCAAGACACTGTACCAGACCAAAAAGAAGCAAATAAGAGAAGTTAATTGTGAAGGTTTTACATACATTTTAATCCAATATGGTTTATGCCCTGAACACTACATTAAGTTAGTAGAGCTACCAGAACTGCCACTTACAACTTTCAGAAATGTATTTGTTATTTTGACAGCTAAATACATATGTCCGTAGAGGCTTACCACACATTAGAGAACAATTTACAAGTTTATATTTATAAATTTCTATTCCAGTCTTTGTATATGTAGCATGAACACTTTTTTAATATGCGTTTTGTTTCATTCTACCAAACCAATCTTGACCTTTAGATTGGCAGACCTTTGCATACATTTGTGAACTCACATACAATAAGTGCTCATACACTTTTAGCCTGCTTATGTCTTAAGAATAGTCATAGATGGATAAATTGGAGTATTGCTAACAGCACTTGGGAAAGAATATGGCAATATAGAACATTGCTAGCGTGCGATAAGATATATTTTTTTATTTTTTAGACACCTCTCACCCAGCCCAAACCATATAGATGTATGTGACAAGCTCAGCCAGTGCTGCTCAACTGACCCCGCCTTCTAGCACATCATGCCCCACCCATCGGGAGTGGGCGAAACGCGTAATACACATATATTTGGATTGGGCTGGGTGAGTGGCATTTAAAACCTCTTCTATCAGCACCTCTGGATGAGTGAAATCCAATGCCAGCACCCCTACTCCTCCTGAGTTCCAGCGGGGAAGTACACTGCATTCTTGCTTAGAGACGCACTACAAGGTCTTATAGGTTTACAGGTTTGTGAAGTTTTTGTTATGTCATTTAAAGGTTTTTTGGAACATGTCTGTACAAAAAAACATTTATTAATCTGTATACAAAAGTGAGCAGAAACTGTCACTTTGCATGCATACAGTGCGCAACTCTTTGCAGCACAAGAATATGCTCAATTTTCCTCTGAGAGACTTCTACCATCTATGGCTAGTCAGCTACACTGTCCCAAGATGCTCATATTTAATACATGTTAATTCATGTGAATTTGAGATGCCGTTGTACATGCTTTTTGGATGCTTTTCAAGGCTGATAAATTGTTAAGCTGATATTGGAGCCAAACATTTTTTTTTTTTTTTTTAATAAGTTGTGTTTTCATGAGTGTTGTTGAGCAAATATGCCTTGTGTATCTGCATTCATTTTGGTGGAAGTCTGTGTGATTTCTTCAGTCTACATGCATTGGAAGACTGGAAGATTACAACCCTTGGCAAAAAGTATGGAATCACCACTCTTGGAAAATGTTAATTCAATTGTTTAATTGTGTAAAAAAAAAAAAAAAAACATGGCATGCCTCAAAACTATTTTCATTTAACATTCCAGTCTTCTGGATTTAAGAAACACTTAAGAAAGAAAACTGTAGTCAATTGCAACTGTTTTCCCAGATCAAGCAGAGGAAAAAAATATGGAATCACTCAATTCTGAGGAAAATATTATGGAATCACCATGTACTTTGCAGTTCTAAAACAAACATCTACGTCAGATTACATCTGCTAATTAGTCTGCCGTTAAAAAGAGAGTGCTTGCACACCTTGGTGAGCTGTTGCACCAAGCTGATTGACATGAATCATGGCTCCAACATGAGAGATGTCAGTTGAAACAAAGGAGAGTATTATTAAACTTCTTCAAGAAGGTAAATCATCATGGAATGTTGCAAACAATGCTGGTTGTTACCAGTCAGCTGTGTCTAAAATCTGGATCAAGTACAAATCAAATGGGAAGATTTTAAAAGGGAAGCAAACTGGTAGACCAAAAAAGACGTCAAAAACAGAAAACTTAAGGCAAACAGAAAAAAACAAGGTTACAGTGGGCTAAAGAAAAGCAATCATGGACTGTAGATGACTGGATGAAAGTGATATCCGGTGATGAATTACGAATCTGCATTGGGCAGGGTAATGATGCTTGGTGCCGTTTCCAATGAAATGTGTACAGATGCCTGCCGAAAGAAAACATGCAAATTTCCATAATCGTGATGATATGGGGTGCATGTCAGGTAAGAGTGGTGATTTCCATACTTTTTGCCAGGGGTTATATTGTTGCCTACCGTATTTTCGCTCCATAAGTCGCACTTTTTTCCCCCCAAAAAAGGGGGGAAAATGTCAGTGCGTCTTATGGAGCGAATATAAAGCGGCCGGTCCGGTATTTCTGCCGCCACCATGTCAGAATACCGGGCCGGCCACTCAGCTGTTCTCTCCTGCAGGGCCTTACCTGTTCCTAGCTCCAGCGCTGCACAGTCTTCCCGCTCTGGCTTTTGTGACAGCCGGGTGCCCACTGCGCATGTGCTGCTCTTTGTGAATGATCCGGTGTCTTCTGGGACACATGACAGGTCCCAGAAGGCGCCGGGCCATTCACAAAGCGCCGCGCTTCTCGCGCATGCGCAGTGGGCACCCGGCTATCACAGAAGCCGCTGCGGGAAGAAGGAAGGACAACTCCGTGGAAGTGGGAGTGGATACCTGTCAAATTCAGGTACCCGCTCCCCCTCCCTCCCCAAAGGTCAGCAGTTTCTGGTCATTCCTTGCACTGTCTGCAGTCTCTGGTCATCCCCTGCACTGTCTGCAGTCTCTGGTCATTCCCTGCACTGTCTGCAGTCTCTGGTCATTCCCTGCACTGTCTGCAGTCTCTGGTCATTCCCTGCACTGTCTGCAGTTTCTGGTCATTCCCTGCACTGTCTGCAGTTTTCTGGTCATTCCCTGCACTGTCTGCAGTTTCTGGTCATTCCCTGCACTGTCTGCAGTTTCTGGTCATTCCCTGCACTGTCTGCAGTTTCTGGTCATTCCCTGCACTGTCTGCAGTTTCTGGTCATTCCCTGCACTGTCTGCAGTTTCTGGTCATTCCCTGCACTGTCTGCAGTCTCTGGTCATCCCCTGTACTGTCTGCAGTCTCTGGTCATTCCCTGCACTGTCTGCAGTCTCTGGCCATCCCCTGCACTGTGTCCGCAGTCTCTGGTCATCTCCTGTACTGTGTCTGCAGTCTCTGGTCATCTCCTGCACTGTGTCCGCAGTCTCTGGTCATCTCCTGTATTGTGTCCGCAGTCTCTGGTCATCCCCTGTACTGTGTCTGCAGTCCATTGGTTCAGAATATTTTTTTCTTGTTTTTCGCCTCTAAAACCTAGGTGCGTCTTATGGTCAGGTGCGTCTTATGGAGCGAAAAATACGGTAATTCAGAAATATAATGTTTTTTGATGCACTTTAAAGTTCCTAAATTAATGAGCTTCAAGCGGAACTTTACTCTGAAGTTTGGGTCCATAAATCCACCCCCCCCCCCCCCGAATAATAATAGGAGCTTGCCTCAGGGGCTCTCTATTTTTTTTTTTTTTTTTTTTTTTGCTTTCCTTGGTCCCTTTAGGGATTTCCATAGAGGATAATGGTGAGCTCTGTTTAAATTCTTATCTCTAACTTATTCTCAACTCTAATTTTATTAGAAAGCTTTTGTATTCAGTACCTACATACCAAACATTGTAATTATTCACATTTAAATATATTCACATTTAAACAGTGTTTTACATATAGAATAGAAGTATATCTTGACCTTTCTAGGAGCAAGCCTCAATCATAGATATATGTTTCCTCTAGAGCTAATTAGCTTGCTATATCAGCCGCTGGATGGATGAGTTGAGTGATGTAGCTTGCATATCCAGCATGTGAGCCGTGCTACGCACCATATCCATTGATGTTGTGGGTTTTTTTTTTTTATTTTATTTGTTTAACTTTACCCAATGACACTAGAGCATGGGTCGAATTTCGAAAGAATTTTCTTTCGACAATCTTTTCTAAGAATTTTCGTTCGAATACACACTTGAAAAATGCACAAACAATGGAAGCAGGAACATGTGTTCCCACTATGCTCAGGTGTGAATGGGGCCTGAGTGTTAAAGATCTAAGTTGATCATTCATGGAGCAAATTTCGGCTGGGTCTTGCAGCACCAGCTATAATGCTCTCTAGGGGCGCTCTCAGCATCCTCCTGCCCAACCTCCTTTAGCTGAAAAATTCTTCAGTTAAAAAAAATCATAGACATTGGTGGAATATACAGTTAGGTCCATATATATTTGGACTCCAGCACAATTTTTTAGGTTTTTTTTCAGGTATTTTCCTAAACATATTCAAGCTATAGTTATATAATGGATATGGACTGAGTGCACACTCTCAGGTTTAATTTGAGGGTATATACATCCAAATTGGAGGAAGGGTTTAGGAATTACAGTCTTAAGAGTAGCCATCCCACCTTATTCAAGGGACCAAAAGTAATTGGACAATTGAATCAAACGCTGTTTCATGGCCAGGTGTGGACTATTCCTTTGTTATTTTTTCATCAATTAAGCAGGTAAAAGGTCTGGAGTTGATTCTAAGGCTGACCATACATTATACAATTTTCTTGAGCTTTTTGGTTTAGATTTACCAAAAACCATATAATAGGAGGTCAAAACTAACAACACTTTCAATTGTATCCAATTAGGCAGGCTCTTGCACTACATAGTTGAAGGTAAATCTAAAGGAATTTGGGCAGAAATTGGATAGAAAATTGTATAGTGTATGGCCAGCCTAAGTGTGGTTCTTGCATTTGGAATCTGTTGCTATGAACCTATATCATGTGTTCAAACGGGCTGTCCAGGCACATGAAACAGGCTTTGTAAGGTTTTAAAAACGAAACAATTCCATCACAGAGATAGCAGCAACATTAGGAGTGGCCAAATCAACAGTTTGGTCCATTCTGAGGAAAGAAGAATGCACTAGTCAGCTCAGCAACATAAAAAGGCATGGGCATCCACAGAAGACAACAGTAGTAGATGATCACAGGATCTTCTTTATGGTAAAGAAAAGCCCATTCACAACATCCAGACAAGTGAAGGACACTCTCCAGGGTTTGGGCATATCATTGTCAAAGTCTACAATCAAGAGAAGACTTCACGAGAGCAAATACAGAGGGTTCACCACCAGGTGCAAACCATTCATAAACCTGAAGAATAGAAAAGCCAGATTAGGCTTTGCTAAAAAAAAATCTAAAAAAGCCAGACCCGTTCTGGAAAAGCATTTTTGGACGGATGAAACTAAGATTAATCTGTACCAGAATGATGGGAAGAAAAAAGTGTGGCCAAGGCTTGGAACACCTCATGATCCAAAGCACACAACATCATCTGTAAAATATGGTAGAGGCAGTGTGATGGCATGGGCATGTATGGCTTCTAGTGGCACTGGGTCATTGGGTTTATTGATGATGTGACAAAAGACAGAAGCAGACGGATGAATTCTGCAGTGTTTAGAGATAGACTGTCAGCCCAGATTCAGCCAAATGCAGCAAAGTTGATTGGACGGCGCTTCACAGTACAGATGGACAATGATCCAAAACACACTGCAAATGCAACCCAGGAGCTTTTGAAGGAAAAGAAGTGGAATATTCTGCAATGGCCGAGTCAATCGCCTGATCTCAACCCAACTGAGAATGCATTTCACTTGCTGAAGACAAAACTAAAGGAAGACAGACCCACAAAGAACAACTGAAGACAGCTGCAGTTAGAGCCTGGCAAAGCATCAGAAAGGAGGAAACCCAGTCTTTGGTAATGTCCATGGGTTCCAGACTTCAGTCATTGCCAGTAAAGGATTCTCAACAAAATATTAAAAATGAACATTATATTCATTTGTCCAATTACATTTGGGCCCCTGAAAATGGAGGGACTGTGTATAAAAATGTTAGCAGTTCCTAAAATTTGTACTTGATATTTATGTTCAACTCCTTGAATTAAAGCTGAGAGTCTGCACTTCAAATTCATTTGGATTGTTTCCTTTTAATTTATTCTGGTGGCATACAGAGCCAACAGTATGAAAATTGTGCCTGTGTCCAAATTTATATGGACCTAACTGTAGTTGGCTGATAGAACCTGCATATAGTCATATGCAAGCACTGTTGGGGTATATTGACAGCTGACAGTGCAAGCTGTCATAATACAGTTGGTGTGGGGACACATTAGATTGTCTCAGCAAAGAAACTAATTGATGCTGCGCTGCTCAATAAATGCAAAGTGCGCAGTATAAATCATAAGGCAAAACAAAAAAATGTGACAAATTATGGTGATAAATAATAGGTGAGCAACAATATGTAAATAGATAGCATGGATCTCTCAATGAATAAACAGAAAAAAATAAACCCGTACAGTGTGCATAAAGGTGACAGGATACAAGCAAATAAAAAAACATATTCGTGACCAAAAAAAGTGAGTAAGCAAATTATAGTGAATGAGTAACATGGATCATATAAATATAAAGTGAACAAATGAATGTGAGAATGCAACAATAATGTGCATAGTGCCAATAAATCTGTGTATCTTCAGCAAAAACGTGAAACATCCAGTGACCACTGCAAAAATCAATCCTCCACCAGCTGGCATGCGTGCTCACCTCCAGGCTGTGACCCACAAGGAGTCATGAAACTTACAGTATCTCACAGAAGTGAGTACACCCCTCACATTTTTGTAAATATTTTATTATATCTTTTCATGTGACAACACTGAAAAAAATGACACTTTGCTACAATGTCAAATATTGAGTGTACAGCTTGTATAAGAGTGTAAATTTGCTGTCTCCTCAAAATAACTAAACACACAGCCATTAATGTCTAAACCGCTGGTAACAAAAGTGAGTACACACCTAAGTGAAAATGTCCAAATTGGGCCCAATTAGCCATTTTCCCTCCACGGTGTCATATGACTTGTTAGTGTTCCAAGGTCTTAGGTGTTAATGGGGAGCAGGGGTGTTTAAATTTGGTGTTCTCGCTCTCACTCTCTCATACTGGTCACTGGAAGTTCAACATGGCACCTCATGGCAAAGAACTCTCTGAGGATCTGAAAAAAAGAATTGTTGCTCTACATAAAGATGGCCTAGGCTATAAGAAGATTGCCAAGACCCTGAAACTGAGCTGCAGCATGGTGGCCAGGACCATATAGCGGTTTAACAGGACAGGTTCCACTCAGAACAGGCCTCGCCATGGTCGACCAAAGCAGTTGAGTACACGTTCTCAGCGTCATATCCTGAGGTTGTCTTTGGGAAATAGATGTATGACTGCTGCCAGCATTGCTGCAAATGTTGAAGGGGTGGGAGGTCAGCCTGTCAGTGCTCAGACCATACGCTGCACACTGCATCAAATTGGTCTGCATGGCTGTCATCCCAGAAGGAAGCTTCTTCTAAAGATGGTGCACAAGAAAGCCCGCAAACAGTTTGCTGAAGACAAGCAGACTAAGGACATGGATCACTGGAACCATGTCCTGTGGTCTGATGAGACCAAGATAAACTTATTTGGTTCAGATGGTGTCAAGCGTGTGTGGTGGCAACCAGATGAGGAGTACAAAGACAAGTGTGTCTTGCCTACAGTCAAGCATGGTGGTGGGAATGTCATGGTCTGGGGCTGCATGAGTGCTGCCAGCACTGGGGAGCTACAATTCATTGAGGGAACCATGAATGCCAACATGTACTGTGACATACTGAAGCAGAGCATGATCCCCTCCCTTTGGAGACTGGGCCGCAGAGCAGTATTCCAGCATGATAACGACCCCAAACACACCTCCAAGATGACCACTGCCTTGCTAAAGAAGCTGTGGGTAAAGGTGATGAACTGGTCAAGCGTGTCTCCAGACCTAAATCCTATTGAGCATCTGTGGGGCATCCTCAAACGGAAGGTGGAGGAGCACAAGGTCTCTAACATCCACCAGCTCCATGATGTCGTCATGGAGGAGTGGAAGAGGACTCCAGTGGCAAACTGTGAAGCTCTGGTGAACTCCATGCCTGAGAGGGTTAAGGCAGTGTCATTTCTTCAGTGTTGTCACATGAAAAGATATAATAAAATATTTACAAAAAATGTGAGAGGTGTACTCACTTCTGTGAGATACCGTATATGCACTCAACCAATCATATCTCTGTATACCCCCTTAATACTTGTCAGGTCAATCCTCTATGGTAGAGATGATGAGCACAACATAAGCATGCCAGCAATAGTGGTTCAGATGTCCCCTCACGGATATAGCCAAACACTCTCCTCTCCAATGACCCATACATGGAAAATGAAATCAAAAACTTCCC